CGCCCCGGGGGCTGGGCGGGCCGGCGGGGGCTTTTCCCCTCTGTAGCCGCTTGTGCCCTCCTTTCCTCCGGGCGAGGAGCCGCCGGCAGGGCGAGAGGAGCCGCGGAGCCAGGCAGCGCCGCAGCGCGGGCGCTCCCCGCCGCGATGGACCCCTGCTCCTCGCTGCTCAGCTACGTGTGAGTACCGGCAGCCCCGGCCCCGCCGCCCGGCCCGCAGCCCCCGCCTCACGCCTCTCTCCCGCTTTCTCTCCCCCGCCGCCAGGTTAATGCACTTGTTCGTCCTGTGCCTGCAAGCCCAGGTAAGTGCCCGTTCGCCCCCGCGGGGAGGGGGGCTCCCCCCAAAGCTGCCGCCCGGGGGGGCTCGGAGCTCGGCAGGGAGGGAGGGGAGAGGGGCAGATGCGGCAGCAGGAGGAACAGTTTAAAGGCCAGGAGACAAAAGTCGCCGGGCTGCGGAAGCCCCAGGCGGAGGGAGCAGCCCGGGCTGCGCCGCGGCCGCTACCGCGCTGCTGCGCGGCCGCCCAGGGCTGTTTTTAAGCGGTTTTCGGCTTCTGCCACCGCTCCCGTGGATCCTCCCTCTTGTCTGGGGTTGTTTTCCGACACAGCCCTGTCAAAAATGAAGTGGAATTAAAAAGAAAAGCGAAAAGGGAGGGAGGAAAAAAATTAACCTTCCTTAGTAAAAAAAAAAAAAGTGGAGGTTTTGATCCAGCTTAAAACAGTCAGACTTTAGCATCGCTGGTTTGTATCGCCAGAGACAGAAGTGTCATGAATAGATTAAACAGCCGGGCAGAGCTTTTGCAACACCCACATACCAGCAGGCACGCGTCGCCGGGAGCGGTGCGCTCCAAGTCGGGGTGAAGCCCCTTCCCCAGAGACCACAGGTGCGGGAGCTCTGTTTGAAATGCTCCTAAGGAAGGGGGGGGGGGGGGGGGCCCCTCTTTTTTTTTTTTTTTTTTTTTTTTTTTTTTTTTTTTTTTCAAGAATTATGTTCAGCTAACCTTTGGGTTGGCACCTTAGGCTGGCTATTCTCTGCCTTAAGACGTAGAAAGCTGCAAAACAATGTGGGGAAAAAAAAAAAAAAAAGAATTTCCAGCCCAAAAGCAAAGGCAGTGAAGAGCAGTTGTGTGAAAACATAGCTGTAATATTTTGGAGCATGAGATGGAGCCCGAATAGCAGCATGGCTAATGACCTCTCCTCCACATGGTACCCTCATCAGAGCCGCGGAGAGAATCCCGCTGCATTATCCAAAAACCTTCTATAGGAAACACACATGCACACACGGAGCGGGAGGGAGGGAGCGAGAGATGACATTGTCAAGGGGAGATATCTATATAAAGTCTGCTTTGGGGGCGAGCAGTGGCTTTGGCTTTTATTGTGCTTTTTTTTCCCTTTTTCTTTTTTTTTTTTTTTTTCTCTTTGTTGTTGAAGTTGGGAGCAAATCTCCCCATTTGACATGGGGGTGGCGGGGGGTAATCCCAGCCTTCTGATGTTGAAAGGAGCTATCTCCCAACATTTGCTCAGAATACGTCTTTATAAATGTCAGGCAGAAGCGAAACTTTCCAGACTTAAAAGAGGCAGTTGAGACGAGGGGGGAAAAAGGACTCCTGTGCAAGGGCGCGAGGCAGGGCTGAGCGTGCGGGCGCTGCGGGAGAGCAGGGCTGCCTGGTGATGGAAATCACCTAAAGCGCGTGGTGCCGAGCGGCAGCCGCGGCTCTGGAAGCGCCGCTGCTCCGGGGCTAGCGGGTTGGGGAGCGGGGAAGCCCTCGCTGCAGCCGCGAGCGACCGGGTGGATCCGCGTGTGCAGCGTGTTGAGTGTCCCCGGCTTGTCCCGCTGCTAAAGGCAGCCCAGGGCATCTTTCCCTTCTCTTGCACTTTCCAGCTTAATCTCACCTGCTAGCCCTGTGTTTAGGGAGAGTTTGCTTGGAAAGTGGGGTGTCTGGAAGGGAATAAGGGGCCTGGAGGAAGGGAGGCTGGGGCACGTGCCTGGGGAGCAGCCACCCGCTCCTGCGAAAAGGCAAGGGCCCGTTTTCCCTGGCTCCCCTCCAGAGCCCAGCCTCAGCTCCCATCCCTCCGGCTCCCATCCCTCAGCTGCTGGCCGGGATCCCCGTGTCCTGGCGGGGCCAGGATGTCACCCGCTCCCCTGTGGGCACAGCCCCGGGCTGGGCTCCGCTTCCCTTCTCCCTTGATGAATGCCCTGTGTCCTCGGGAGGCGCTGCCGGTGCCGGAGCCGTGCGGAGCGCACAGCGATCTGATCTGCGCTCAGCCCATTCGCCCCTCTGAGGAGTAGGGATGGTAATGGTGTGTTGTATATTTTTTAATTTCCTAAAGGTAACTGTTCAGTCCCCACCTAATTTTACACAGCATGTGAGGGAGCAGAGCCTGGTGACGGATCAGCTCAGCCGGCGGCTCGTCCGTACCTACCAGCTGTACAGTCGGACCAGCGGGAAACATGTGCAGATCTTGGACAACAAGAAAATCAATGCGATGGCAGAGGATGGGGATGTGCACGGTAAGGACGGGCGGGGAAGGGGGTGCGCAGGGAGGCAATCGCTGCACGGCGGTTAATGATTTCTGTCCCGTTGCTTAGCCAGAAATTGTTAAAATCATTTGGGCTYGTGAAGGGACAGCGCAGGGGTCCATGGCAGTGAGGCTGGTGGCGAGGGACCGGTGTGCGTGGGATGGGCTCCGGCCACATCTCCCTTTGCAGCCGTGTCCGCACCTGCTGCAGGGTGTGCAGGGATGGAGCGGGATGAGCGGCATGGGGCTGGAGCCTTGCGGGATGAGGGAAGGGAAGCAAAGTTTTAACCCTAGAACGAAGTCCCGTGTCCCCCACCTTGTATGGGCAACCTGCTGCTTTGAATTCCCCCCTTTCCCCCTGCCCTGCCCGAATGAGGAGCGCCCCAAGGAGCGCCTTCCTGGCACCCCAGCAGTGCCCGCGAGCGGCACCCCCTTGCCRAGCCCCCGGCAGCATCGCGGCACGTCCCTGTGCTTCTCATCCTCACCCTACAGACACTTTGGGAGGGTCACACGCCAACCCTGTCAGCAGTCCCACAGCCCTGGTGTCCCCGCAGCCCGGGCCTGCCTGCTCCTGGGCAGGAGGTGCCCGCGCACCTYGGGATCGTGGCTGTTTTCCTTTGGCATTAGCTGCAATTTCCCTTCCTTGCTTGGGGAGATTAGCAGAAACACTTCTCTTCCTTCCTCCCCTTTAATTTTTTTTCCTCTTTTCTTTGGATAAAAAATTTGTAACAAACCTCAAAATTCAAGAAGCCTAAAATCCATAAATACAACGTTTGTGTGTGTATATAGACGYATATATATCATATATATATAAAAACATTATATATAACATTAATCTTCCAACTGAATTATCCTTATCCTTGAGCAGCTCTGGATTGAGAGGGCTTTAGCTAATTTCCCGAGTGAAACCATTAGGAAAAAAAAAAGTCTTGTTTTAGACGTGTAAGGCCTGGATTTTAAAAGGCAGTTAGTGCATATTTAACTAACGACTAGGTTTAAATAAGGCCAGGAGGAGGGGACTCGTGGTGGCTTGAAAAACTCTATTAAAATGTAATAAAAAGGGCTATGCGTTTGGAGGAGCGGGGAGGCGAACGAAGACTGATCTAAAGCAGAAAGCAAGCAAGCAGTTTTTCAGATGTAAAGCTTTAAAAGAGTTGCAAGTCTGTAAATGTTAAAATAGAGGTTCAGGATTGTTCTATATGAATCTCCAGGGAGGCCCCCATGTCTGGAAGAACTATTAAAACGCTTCTTACTTTCACCTTTTTTAACATTTCCTGAATACTTTCTCCTCTTCGCAGTCCAGTTGGGGGATCAAGTGTGTCTCGCTGCATTTTTTCAGCGTTTACGTAGCCACTTTCCCTTCAAAGTTCTAGCATGAAACATAATTTTAGTGGGATAAATCTGTCACTTAAGTGAAAGAATAGAGTTGAAAACGCTAGAAACCACCCCCATCAAAAAAAAAAAAGAAGAAAAAAAAATGGATTCCCCCAAAATGGCATTTAAAATCCTCTTTGGGGAGGGGGGGAAGCCCCCCTTCTCCAAGCCCTTCATTCCATGATTTTTTTTTTGGTTGTTGTTTTATTCTTTTTCCTCTTTCTTTCTTGATGTAATTTTTGGGGGTGGGCGTGTAAAAAGAGGCTGATTTATTCTCGTGGGTGACCCCTCTCCCCACGCTGACGTTTTTACAGCCGACTTAACATCRAGCCCGGCGCCCGCCGTTATCTGTCTTAATTGTCAATATGTGATTGACTTTCTTTTTCTCTCCATCCCAAGCGCTTGCTGGCGCTCGCTCATCTTGAGCAGCAGCTCAACTCAAAAGCGGCTCTAATCCGGATTAAACCTCTTCCTGGTCCTCGGAGGTGTCTTAGCACAGATTGTTTATTTATTTATTTTGTTTCCCCGTGGTTTTGTGCATTTTTCCTGTGCGCGAGGCTGGGGGAGCTGGGATTCTGCTGTGTCGGCAGCAGGTTGTCCCGGTCCGTGGTGCCGCCGTCGCGGCCCCGGCGGGCGATCCCGGCCGTAAATCACAGCCGCCCTTTGAGAACAGGGAGCGAGGGGCGTCTTCAGAGCCGGGTTTTGTGCTCGCCGCTCCCACCGGCTCCCCTGCTCGCTCCCTGCCTCCCTCCTGCTYGCTCCAGCTCTCGGCAAGGGAAATCAATGTTCTCAAACCCTTTACTGTCACCCGGATCAATTCCCCCCTTCCCCAATAACTGGGGGTCTCAGTGCTTTGCTTGTGGGCAGCCGCAGCTCTTTTTGCTGCTTTTGGTCACCTATGGTATGGAGGCCAAAATATTCCCAACTTTCTGGGCTCCACAACATCCCAACCGGGCAGTGCCATCCYGGGTCAGGCTTTCTCCAGGCTTCCCAGTGTGAGGAACCCTCTCTGGGGATGAGGTTGCYCTGTGCCATTCTCCTGCCCCCCAGGACCGCAGGCTCTTGGGCTCGGGTTCYCCAGCGGAGGTTGGGGACGGAAGGTGACAGATCTATTTATAGGCAAGCCATCGACCCGGCGATTTGCATAGCTCCTTCGGAAGTAGATCGATGCCTCCATTAAAAAACTGAGACCAAATCAATACGCCCTCTCGGCACGCACAAAGGTGAAAGGCATTAAGAGGGTGGCCGTACCCTTCACGCCTCCTCCGCGGGCCACAAAGTCACTGCTGCTCCTGGGGACACCGTGGCGGAGCAGAGGGGACCAGGCTGGCTCCTAGCACTTAATCCAGGACACAAGGTTGTTGGGGCCCGTTTCCCTCCTTGCCTGGCATGTGCCATTAGGGAGGGTGCCCGTCCCCACYGGAGCCACCGTGACCTCTCCTCTCTGCTTCCTCCCCGCTGCTCCGGGCAGCCAAGCTCATCGTGGAGACGGACACCTTCGGGAGCCGCGTGCGCATCAAGGGCGCAGCCACCGGCTTCTACATCTGCATGAACAAGAAAGGGAAGCTGATCGGCAAGGTAGGCKGGAGGGCGCACCGGGAAGCGTGATGTGGGAATGGGACGGCCCYCGGCACGGCGAGGGAAGGGGGGCGAGCGGGCGCTGCGCGGGCCGCGTTCATCCCCTCTCCCCAGACAAATAGGCGGGATGCTCTGCCATTCTCCCCGATTACATGGTACAAGCAGCAGGAATGYTGAGATGCTCTGCGAGGCCGGGCCTTGACGGGCACCCTTTAGTCACGCTCCTTCTGAGCCGTGGCGCTCCCACCGCTGTGGGCAGTTTCCAGGAGGATTTGCCATTGTGGGTGCTTCTTTACAGCCACCGTGCATCCCCTCCCTGGTCCCACGTAACCAGGATGTTCTAGGCACCTTGGCCATAACCAGGATGTTCTGGGCACCTTGGCCTTCTTGGCATCTGCAGGCAACCATTTATCAGCTGGATCCTGCATTCCCTTGACTCCTCTCCTGCATGAAGGGTGGGTGAATTGCCATAAGGATGGAGAGAGTTTACTGGTGGGGGGACCCAATCTGTGTTTTGGGACCACCTAGGACAGGTAGAGCCCTACTGTGGGTGCAACAGGAATTACCTGGCAGCAATTGTAGGAGGATGGTAGCTTTGGAGGAAAAAAGTAGATTTGGGTCAATACTGCCCTGGGTGGGAGAGCTGGGAGGTTGGCGCAGAAGCACCAACTCKTCGGTGCCAACCACGCTGACCCATCTCTCCCCAACCCCTCAGAGCAACGGCAAAGGCAAGGACTGCGTCTTCACGGAGATCGTCCTGGAGAACAACTACACGGCGCTGCAGAACGCCAAGTACGAGGGCTGGTACATGGCGTTCACGCGCAAGGGCCGCCCGCGCAAGGGCTCCAAGACGCGGCAGCACCAGCGCGAGGTGCATTTCATGAAGCGCCTGCCCAAGGGCCACCAGACCACCGAGCCCCACCGGCGCTTCGAGTTCCTCAACTACCCTTTCAACCGCAGGAGTAAAAGGACTAGAAACTCCAAGGCGAGCCCAAGCCCTTGATGTGTCCACCTTGGAGGACTCTTTGGGAGTTCGGAGCGTGCATAGAGACTTTCCTATGCGGTTCTTGAGGAAGGGGTGGGGGGTGGAAAGAAGAAAAACGATTACCTGCTCTAGTCATTGATAACTTTGGGGGTTTGTTTTTGTTTTTACAAAAAAAAARGGGGGGTRAGAAAAAAAAAGGAAAAGAGAGGCTCTATTTTTGTATTCCAGCTTTAATAGAAATGAAATGTTCAAAGACACGTGAAGGGGAGGGGAATCCTCTTCACTTAGAAATGTTCTAGTCTGTTTGGGGGTCGTGTTTTTTGTTTTGTATTTTTGTAGCTCTAGGGGAAGAGAGAAGAAAAAAATACTGTTTAAAACAAACAAAAAAAGAAAAAAAACATATCCAAATAGGACACCAGTGCCCACAYTTAGAGGAACCAAATTACCGCTCACCAGAGAAGATGGAGAGGTTGGCACCCAAGGGCAGGGTGCGCATCCAGAGGGGACTTGAGGACTCCTGGGTCCTTCTCCCAGGCACTGTGGGCGCCTGCCCACTACCTGGTCCCTATGGATCCACTGAATGTTTCCCCTCCTCCAGTGCACCCATTTCCTGAGCAGAGCGCGGAGCTGTGGGAAGCTCCCTGGATCCTTCAGAAAGTGCTGCTGAAGATGCTTCCCAATGCCACTTTTTTTTCATCAAGGGAGGACGGGATGATGGACATCCCAGAGAAAGTCCTGGATGGACTTGGTGCCTCTTGCCCACAAGGCACTCCTGGCATCCTGG